CTAATCTCCTCCTGTGTGATTAATGGCCTCTGAAAATGGGTCAATTCCAACTTGATGGTACATAACAAAACCAAAAATATGATTAGTATTCCTGATTTTTCTCTTTTCCTTCAGGTCAATTAGGCATGGCTCTAGATGAATGTTTTGTTCATGATAGGTTTTGTTGTTTTGTGTTTTTTTTTTTTAGAAAACGAACTTTAATATTTTAAAGCAGATTGCATTATAAGACTCTTTTCTGAGATGGTATTACCAAATGTTTGTTCCCAGTGTGTACGTTTTCTTTTTACCCTGTTGAAGAAAGTTTTCAATGTGCACAGAGATTTAATCTTTAGAAGGACCCATGCATCAATTTTATCCTCTTCAGATTGTGAATTTCTGGTTGTATTTGGCAGTCTCTTTATACCTTGGACTAACGTTTCTAAGCTAGCTTGATCCCAGTTTGTCTCTTATGAAAGTTATGGTTCTGGGCTTTCCTCCCAGCTCTCTGATCCACCTTGAGTTGATTTTTGTGCATGGTGTGAGATATGGATCCTGTTTCAGCTTTCTGCAGGTGGAAGTCCAGTTTTTCCAGCACCATTTGTTGATAAGGTTATCATTTCCCCACTTTTTAAAAATTTTATTTTATTATTTTTTATGAGTGTACCATCAAATCAGATCTGACTGGTAAAGGAAGAGATTGCCCCTCCTTCTCCAGCAGAGCATCTAGTGGACTCGAACAGCATACCTCTGGGATTGCAGTGCAGCTTCTTGCCACTAGGCCACCAGAGCTCCCTCATTTCCCCATTTGATAGCTTTGATTTCCTTATTGAATATCAGTTGACCATAGCATTAAAAAAACCCAGTGTTTATTCTGATGATTGAGTATGTTGGGGTTGCCTTCAATTTGGCACCCTCAGTGATTAAGTCCTATGGCCCTGCTCCTGCCCCGTTCCATGTACCAGCAGACCAAGCCAGGCCTCTCAGGTAGGAAGTGCCAACAAAGAGATCAGAGTGAGCAGTCTACTTCAGCTTCACGTCTTCCTGCCTTGGCTTTAGAATCAAGCTTTTGAGGTCACATTCCTACCTATTATTGTCTGTGGAAGCTCTCGTGGCCTCAGGAGTTGTGCTGCCCACCCAAGGGCAGGCAGTTGGAACTGACCAGCTGCTCCACAGGAGAAGGATAAGCTATCTTCTCCTGTGCCGTGTGCTGGCTCGGAGAACCCTCGGGCCAGGTTCAAATTGTTTTCCTGTCAAACATTCTTCTAGGTGGTATAGCACTGGTCTGTGCGTTGCTGTACAGAGGTAACTCATGTTGCTGTGATGCTGAAGACTGTGACAGTGATGTGCCAGTCGTGGTAATGGGTACCCATGGTGGACAGTGTTGGCTGGAGCTTCCCAACTAAAACAAGCCTGGAAG